CCCCCCCCCCTTCCTGCTCCTCGTGCTCCTCGTGCTCCTCGTGCTCCCCCTCCCCCTCCCCCTCCATTTCTTCGATGCGCTTCTCGCTTTGCTCCTCGTCTCCTTCCTCCCTCAAGTTCTCTCCCTGCTCCTCCTGCCTATTCTCCTCCCTCGGCTTCTCTCTCTCCTCCTGCTCCTGCTCCTGCTCCTGCTCCTGCTCATTGCTCTCTTCGTCTGCTACACCATCTCTCCAGCCGTCCACCCGCCCTCCAGCTTCAGGTCGTCGCTTCTCATCATCATCTTCTTCTTCTCTGCTCTCAAGCGGCGCCTCCTCCTCGAGTTTGGATTCCTCCACGTCTTCTTTCCTCTCCTGCCCAACAATCGTGTCTTGGTCCTCCTCTTCGTCCTCCTCCGCTTCCCCCATCTCCCGTACACGCTGCACTGCCATCTTCTCCTCATCCTCTCCTCCGTTGGAGCTCGTACTTGCACTGGCTTCCGCGCCAACAGCATTCGTCATCTCTCCTTCCTCAATGTGCGAAGGTAGCAGCTGAGACCCTCCATCCTCCTCCTGCAAGTCTTCAACACGCTGCTTGCTCTTACTGCTCAAGTCATCCTCATCGTCCTCTGCTTCCTCGGACTTCTTGTCTTGCTGGTACGACTCGTCCTCCTCTCTTGTTGCTGTTTGAGCAGGCATATCCTTCCCCTGATCCTGCAGCAGCTCCGGCTCCTCCTCCTGTTCTTCCACTTGCTCCTTGCTGTGTTGCTGTCGCTCATCCATGTGGTCTTCGTGCGTGTCCTCTTCCTCTCCTGGTCCCCCTTCCTCCTCCTTTTCCTCCTCTCCTTCGTGCCCATCTTGTATTTCCATATCATCGTCCTGCTCTGACAATTCCTCCTGTGCCAGCAACTGCTTTCCCTCCTCTTCCTCCCCCTCCTCCGCCTCCTCCTCTTGCTCCTGCTCGCCATTCATCTCCGTGTAGAGCTCTTGCGATCCGATCTGCGGGGCATACAGCACGACATCGCGGGCGAGCATGCGATCAGCGGGGAGGATGCAGAGGAGGTTCTCCAGCAGGTACTTGCCCATAACGTCGTGAATCTCCTCCACTTCCACCTCCAGCTCTCTCCCCCTCAGGCTCTGCGCGCTCAGCTTCTGCTCTGCCTCCTCACGGGAGGAGAAGAGGGGCTTGCCCGCCAGCAGCCGGTACAGGAGCCCTCCCAGGCACCACAGGTCCATCCCCATGCTCGCCTTCAGCCCCAGCTCCTCCCCAGCTGCACAGGCTGCCAAGTCCTCAGGGGTGTCACAGGAGGAGTCAGGCAGCCAGGGCCTGATCTTGCTGGGGGTCACACCCCCCGCAAACAGCTCTCCTTCCTTGTGCCCCCAGCTCAGCCCCAGCAGCTTCCACCTCCCCTCAGCCCTCACGACCGAGGAGGCCGAGAGGTCGCAGACGACCATCCGCTTGCCGTGCAGGAACTGGAGGGCCCGTGCGACGTCCAGGAGGATCCCAGCTGAGCTCTTCGTGTCCATCCGCTTCTTGGAGCTCAGCAAGTCGGTCAGGTGGAGCTCAGGCGGGGGGAACACTATGACGCTCTGCTCGCCCTCCTGCTGGGCTTCTAGCTCGGCCAGGACGTGGGGAGAGCGGAGGATCTGGAGGAGAGCAGCTTCCTTCGTGAAGGCGCTGGAGGAGGAGGGGAAGCGAAGAAGAACCTCTCGGTCGGTTTGAAGGCAGCGGGCGAGGAAGTAGGAGGAGGAGCCCTTGACAATCTCCACGTACTCACCTCCCCTTCCTCTTCCTCCTCCTCTCCTCTTCTTCCCATCGCTTTTCACCTCCTGCATGCGGTACCTTCGCATCACCAGCCCCTTTCCTCTCCCGGTCTTCCTCAAACGCCGGGCGTATCCTCGACCCCAGTGACCTCGCAGCACCGCCTGCACCCGCACAGCAGCCTGCTCCTCCGCTCTCCTCCTGCTCTCTTCCATCCTCTGGGCCTCCCTGACTGCATTTCCTCGAGCTCTCCGCTGAATGGTCAAGGCTGCTCGCTCCTGCTCCTGGTCCTGGTGGTCAGCGATGCGAGACTGATTCGAAGTCTTACCCTCCTCCTCTTCCCCGCCAGGAATCTCGACCGATGCAGCCTTCTCTTGACCGCCTGCGATCAGACGGTCAGGATAGGAAACTCGCCGTCCTCCACCTACAGCAGCCAGTACAGCCTGCGCTTCCTCCTCTCCCATGCAGACCGCCTCCTCCCTCTTCTCGGCCCTCCGTCTCCTTCGCTCAGCATGCCCCCGAAAGATCCTTTGGATGTCAACAGCTGCTCGCTCCTGCAGCATCTCCTGCCCGTCCTCCCGAACGGCTCCCTCTAAACTTTCTCCTTCCTGACTCGATGCTTGCGAATCTTCGCAGATGGAGGAGACGTTAATGGAGTTCGCCCGCTCCTTTAACAGCTCTGCCGCTAAGTCACTCGCTCCCCTCCCCTCGATCCCTCTCGCTCCTCTCTGCACCCCTTCACTCACCATTGCGGACGTGAAATCCCCGATAGAGACGCTGAATGAGAAGAGCAGCAGCAGTCTCCTTGCGTCGGTTGCGAGGAATCATTCTCGATAACGTCACTTCCTTTTCTCCTCCTCCTCCTCCTCCTCCTCCTCCTCCTCCTCCTCGCTTGCTTTGTTTTTCTTCTCCTTTTCCTTCCCTTTCTCCTCTTCCTCCTCCTCTTCTGTGACGAGAGGTCGCCGGATGTCGCGGGGCCTTCCAGGCTCCTTCCTGTTGTCCTGCTGCTGGCTCTTGAGCTGCTCTGGCTCGACGTCGAAGAGGAACAGGTGGAAAACGTCCTTCCCCAACCTGCTCAGCTCGGACAGCGCCAGCTCCAGCGCCTGTAACTCCTTCACACGGGGAGCGAGCAAGAAGACTATGGGGACCTGTTGCGATGATATGGTAACCAGATCCTCCTCCTCGTCCCTCCACTTCATCCGCATCCTCCTCTTGTACTCTCCTTCCACCCCGTCGCTGAGCTCTTGCAGGCTCATGTTGTGAGAAAGCATCAAGACTGCAACCGAACGTGTCAACCGACCAGCATACGAAGTCGCAGAGAGGGAGGAAGAGAGATGAACAGACGCTTGCATGAAGCAGGAGAGCGACGATTGAGTTTGAGGTTGAGCAGATGATCATGTAACGCACCTCGTACGTCTTCTCCGTAATGGCACTTGACCTTAAGATCACTAGAGCTCGAGGACACCAGCGAGTTGTTCAGAGGACTTCCTCCTCCTCCTCCTCCTCCTCCCAGCTGCGAGAGCGACTGCTCCAGGAGCTTCACGCGCTGCATCAGGTTCTCGCGCTCCTCCATCGGTTTCAGCCTGATAGGTTTAGCTCCTCCTCCTCGTCTTCCTTTTCCCTCCTCCCCAACTCCAAAGTGAGTAGCCGGCACGTAGGTCGGATGATCCATGGCAGGGGAAACAGGAGAGCGAGGTCCAGCCAGAGACGAGCTTGCTCCCCGCCTATCCTCCTCGTCTATCGACATGTCGTCGAAGTCTCTGCAAGAGCTACAGTCATGTCTACCCCCTTCCACCCATCTCCTCCCTCCTCTTCTCACCTCTCTAGTGGAGCACTCACGGCCCCTCCGCGCTCGGGCCTCCTCTTCACCATCGACATGCTCGTTGGAGTCCTCGGCCCCATTCGTTCGCTCCTCCCCTCTCTCCCCTCCCTCCGTCTCTCCATCTCCTCACCCACTTTATCCTCGCTCTCGCTTCTCCTCTCTCCGAACCCTTCTGCCCAGCGCACAGCCATCTGCGTCCTCGACTCTCTCCGGTAGGGCTCGATGCCCGACGAGTCTATGGGCCTGCGGGAGGAGACCGGGGCCGAGCCGTTGCCGGCTCCTCGCATATCCGAGAGCGTCACTCGCTTCCTGCCTGGAGGTGTAGCAGGGGCAGATGCGTACGAGACTGGAGGAGGGACGGATGTAGCACCTCCTCGACTGTGAAGTGGCAGCCTTGGAAGCGTGTGGCTTTGTTGAAGACGACCGTCTCTTCTGATCGGCTCCTCCTCCTCCTCCTCCTCCCTTCGACGTCTCTGAATCATCTCATGCTCGCTGATAGTGTGAGACGCCATTGCTTTCCTCTCTCGTGTTCCCTTCACTGTGGGCAACAAAGCTTTTTTCCGTGAAAGTTTCTCCTTCGCCTGCAAAAATCACAGTCATTCATTCTCCTTCCTACATCCTACTCATCTACTCCTGTTGAATTCTTCCCACCCCCTTTGTACCCATCTTTCTCAAAGATCTCTTCCCTTCCATCCCCGCTTTCTCAATCCTCCCCCCCTCCTCCTCCACCTGAAGAAACGACTGTGTGATCGCGTGTGTCTTGGGATGTTTTGGGCCCCATTGGCTCTCTGCCATCTTGACTGACTCGCTGTAGGATTGGATCGCCGCGTCCCACTTTCCCAAGTGCTCCTGCTCCACCGCCAAGTTGTGATACGCTATCGCTAGGATGCTTGCTTCCTCCATCGCAGCCTGCGGGTCAAGTCAACTGGGGGGGGAAACGTCGAGGAGAGGGGAGATGAAGAAGAAAGGGGGGGGGGGGGGAGGGGGGGGGGAGGGGAGGAGGAGGAGGAGGAGGACCAGAGGGAGGAGGACAAATGTTCGAAACTCACTTTGCCCCCCTTGCTCTTCTTCCTGGCGACACTCTGCTTCAACAGCTCCAGCGCACACTGCGCATGCTCGAGAGCCGGTGCGTGTCTTCCGAGCTGAGAGAGGGTGGCGCATAGGTTGAGGTGAGTACCAGCTGGGTTGTCGACCTCCTCCGACGAGAGCTCAATCTTGAGGGCCTTGTCCAGGTACTGCAGCGCTGCGTGGAGCTTCCCCCTGCGCTTGTAGAAGCAGCCGAGGTTGTTGAAGGTCACAGCCCTCAGCTTCAGCCGCGTCTTCTCCTCCTGCAGGTACCCCCGCGGCTCAGTCAGCAGCTCCGCCTTCTTCAGCAGCTCGTACGCCTTGGCGTACTCGTCCTTCTGCAGGCAGTTCATCGCCAGAGTGTTGCAGGACGTGGTGAAAACTTGGCAGGCTCTCAAGACTTCCTTGCTGTCATCTCCGTAGATCTTCTTCCTCAGCACCACCGACATCTCCATGTAAGGAAGCGCGTCAAGATGTCGTCCTTCTCGCTTCAACTGCGCGAAAGTCCGTTCGCATGACAGCAGCTCCTCCATGCTCGATCCCGCCGGCGTCATGCTGTCGCTCTCCCCCCGGAAGATGCTCTTGGTCACAGGCGTGGCTCTACCGGAGCTCACGGGGCTGGAGCGACCGGAGAGCTGCGGAGTTCTGCCCAAGGACATTCTGAGATCGATGCGACCCAGGACTGAATCAGGCGAATCTGCCTACGAAGAAGCACCCATGTCGATGCCTCGTTGGATTAAGAGTGCAGGCTGACAAGACATCATTGTAAGATACATGGCGGATCTCAGTTTCAGACGTGAGCAGTGCAAACCACCACAAGTGGCGCTACTATCGAGAATGTTCCCATGGTCATGTACCTTTAGTCCTATTTCTCCTTGTAACACAACACAAACACACACCTTAGCTGCTCTAATATCAGCCTACAGCTCTCAGACAACTCATCGCTTTCCTTCATCCTACTTGTCACCTGCTCATAACGACCCTGACTCGCCTATCTGCCAGAATGACACCCTGCTGTCCCCCCTATCCTCTTGGTCCATACTGCTCGCATCCCACCCAGACACCACTGTACGCGTTCTCGTTTCCTTCACTCTCTGTCACTATGTCTCTCCTCCCTCCCTCCCCTCTCTCCCCTCCCCTCTCCCACTCTCCCTCCTCTCCTGTCTCGCAAGGCATTGTCGTTGGTTTGATTCAACTGACTGTATGGCACGGTGTCGCTTCGTTGATCCAAAACCTATATCACATTTCAGAGGAGGTGTGAGAAAACTTTCACTCTCAATCGATATTTCAAATTTTAAAGGTCTAATTTCACTCCCTGAGTCGCTGCAATGAATGCCCCTTGGGCGACTATCCTTGGGACCGTTGTCATGATGGCGGCGATGATGGCGACAGCGAAGATGTCAATGAGAGGAGAGAGAAGAGATTTGACGACCATGCTTGCACAATCGCCTCTCCCCTCGTCGAAAACTGCTGGCAGTCATCCTCATTCGTATGAGAATAACTAGGCGACTTTTAATGCTTGACTGTGGCATGCAGGGTCAGGGCTCTTGCGGCCGCACAGAGAAAGATTAAAGAGCTGGAGAGCTCGAATAAAAGTCTGAGATCTAGGATCTCGCACTTGGTAAGGCCATTATGTTGTATGTCTTGCTGCTTGTTCATAATCGGGTGCTTTCACAAGGAGTCGATAAAGAGGAGGCTTCACAACTCGCATGGAGCTCTCAGAGGTCATCTATCTTCGTGTTGGCCTTCTTAGAAAGTGAATGGCTTCTCTGCCAGGCAAAAGTGCGAAGCATGCCAAGGGAGGCGTGACGTGCATGCCGCCCTTCTGTGACAGGTGATGAGCCTTGGAGTACTGGGGGAGTGCAAGCTGACGGTTCGCAGGAATGATTTGCCATCGGTTCTCTCAGGCTACCTCATGTGAAATAGTTGTACACTAGTAAAGATTTTCAAGCATGGACATGTGACCGTCTAAGTTCTTGTTACATGCGAATCAAGGGGTAAGCTTGAATCGTCGACTACTCTACGAGTACCGCGTGATGCTCAGACCTTGTCGAACTCGAGGGTCTGCAGTTGAGGGCTTGGCAACGCTGCTGCTCTTCTCCGCCTTAGCTGCAGCATTCCTGAGCTTCTTCTTCTCTCGAGCTTGCGCCTTCAGCTGCAGTCATGTCAGTGTGAGACGGCTAGCTGCAAGTGGACAGAACCTGTTTCGCTACTTCTTTTCTCATCTTCTTTTCCTCAGCTGTTTCCCCACGTCGACGAGGACCAAGGTCTGCTGCTGTCGACGTGCAGATGCTTGCTTCGTCATCTGAGTCGGTCTCGCCATCCTCCTCTTCATGAGCCTCGACCGCCTCCTTGGTAACGTGTGACTTGGCTTTCTCGTCACCTTTCATGAGCACAGGCAGGCCCTTGCGGTCGAGCAGAATCTTGGTAGCTCTCTTGGAATCTTCGATCACCTTTGGACGGTTGTAGATGTTCGAGTAGGTTGAGAGTATGGATTCGCAGTCCCATTCCTGCTTCTTCTCTACCTCCACTTCCTCCAGACTCTCCTCACTTTCCTCCCCTGCTTCCAGAGCCAAAGCACGAGTTTTCTCCCTCAGTTCCTCGTCCTCTTCTTCCATTTCTTCGAAGCCTTCCTGAAGGATCTGTCCTTCGGATCCAATGTTCAGGTTTGAAGATATGTTCCCCGTAGGAGCTGCTGTTCCATGGATGTAGGATTGCAGAAGGTTGTAGTAGTACTCCTCGTCTTGTACTGCCGCATTTGGAGGCTGACAAACTTCTTCGGTCAGCTCTCCAATGTTGTCGTCGTCATATTGCTGCAAGAACACTTCGAACCTCTCGTCAAGGAGACGGAGGTCTCGTGGCTGAGACAGAAGAGGATCAGGCTCATCATCACCTTCGCCGTCCTCGCCGTCATTTAACATGTGGATGAAGTCATCATCTAAATCTCCTTGCTCAACGACTTTTCCTTCCTCTATCAGTTTCTTCCCTTCGTCCACCCAGTTCATTGTTTTGTCCTCCTCCAGAGCTGGAGCTTCCTCGTCGTCAGTATCTTGAGAGTCCAAGGTTGCAAGGACATCTCTCGCTGGCTTCGGCGCATCTTGGAGCATGCGAGCTGTCTTCTTCTCCAGCTGCATCTTGAGCTCCGTTGGAAATTGAGCATCCAGTCGAACTCCATGTCCTGGGTTGCGGAGATGCTGCGTGTAGTCATAACCATCATCGGGCAAGCCAAACTCCTCGATGTCCTTCCAGAGTTGTTTACGACGTTCGGGAGCAAGGTAAGACGAGGCTGTTCTTTTTGACCATGAGGTGTACTCTGACTTGGCATCTTCGTCCGTCCGTTTCCATATTCCCGGCTGAATTTCAGGAGGGTCTGCACCCTCTGCATCATCGAACTGGTCGTCATGATCATCTATCACTCCCTCTTCGCCTTCATCTTCCTCTTCCCATTCTTCTTGCTCTAAATCTTCCTCCTCGTCTCCAGAATCTGATCGATAGGGATATTCCTCTTCATCGTCGTCAGAGAAATAGTTCTTATCTCCATAGACCTTCGCCAGTTTCCCAACACCAGCGTTGTCGCCTTCTTTCTGTTCATCAGGATGCACAAGACGATAGACCGTTGCATTCTTCCTGTCGATGAAGGGTTTGCTGTGTTTACCCATCCTCGACTCTCGTTGAGTAACGACTTTCTACCCCAGTTGTACCTTGCTCTTGTCCTCTTGTCCTCTTGTCCTCTTGTCCTCTTGTCCTCTTGTCCTCTTGTCCTCTTGTCCTCTTGTCCTCTTGTCCTCTTGTCCTCTTGTCCTCTTGTCCTCTTGTCCTCTTGTTTTCTTGTTTTCTTGTTCTCTTGTTCTCTGGTACTCCGTCTTCTGTTTTGTCCCGTCAGTCTAGCGCATCACCGCACGTGCCTTTTAAAATATTTATTGAGACCCTTTAAAATATTTATTGCCCAATCACTGAGACGGCCCGACGGGCCCGGAGCCCGGAGCCGGCACCGGGTCTCATCGTATAATTATGAAATTTATATGGATTTATATATAATTGGTACATCACTAGGGGGTCTCGAGGACAATGGGCGGCCGTGCGGCCACCGCGGTGGCGCTGCTGGCGATCATGCTGGCGATGCTGGCGGGGGAGGTGAACAACCGCCCTCCTCGACTTCCTCCGCCCTACCTTCCTCCTCCCCTGCTCCTCCCTCCCTCCTCCCTCCTGTCTCATCCTTCTGGCCCCCTTGCCCGCCATCCTTCATCTCTCGTGACCTGGTTACCCCCATTCCCCCCCCGTCCCCCTCCTTCTCACTCCCGCCCCCCACCCATCCTCCTGTTCTCCCCTCATCTACATTCCCTGTCGTTGTTGCAACCTAGTTTCCTCACATGGCATGATGCGTTTGTACTTCATCATCCCCTAGACTGGGTTCAAATCGCCTCAAACGTAATCAGTCCCTGCTTCATGCTGCAACTGCCACCAAGTTTCAACTCTGACTTGACTCGAACTTGACAGACTTACGCGCAATATGGCGGTCGCGGCGGATACTACGAAGACGACGACATCACAGATCGTGCGGTGGAGTACTACATGATGCAACAGCAGGTCGAGGGAGAGGAGGGGAGGACGAGTGAGGATTCTGACGGGAGGATGAAGGCCCAGCAGCAGCGCATGCAAGAGGAAATGATTCGAAGAAAGCAAGAGGAGGCTGAGCTAGCTCGTCAGGTACGAAGGGGGAAGAGAGAAAGTACCCTGTGTGATGCATGTCATCTTCAGGAAGCGATGAGGAGATCACAGCAAGAGGAGATGCGGCAGGAAATGATGAGACAGGAGGCCATGCGGCAGGAGGCCATGCGGCAGGAGGCCATGAGACAGGAGGCCATGAGACAGGAGGCCATGCGGCAGGAGGCCATGAGACAAGAGGCCATGCGGCAAGAAGCTGTTCGGCAAGAAGCTATGCGCCAAGCGATGCTCGAGGCAGAGGAGGAAGAGATGCTCATGCAGCAGGTAGAGCTTGCGCTGCGTCTTGTTTGAACTGATGCATGCAGCAGGCATACGCGCAGCAGCAGGCATACGCGCAGCAACAAGCATACGCGCAGCAGCAGGTGAAAAGTGGCGGCTTGTATGGAGTAAACTGACTAGTGGCTTGAAAGGCCCAACAGCAGCGAGCGAAGAAGTGAGGAGGAGGAAGAGATGTCAATTGCACTGACGACTCTTCAGCATCCACGAACAGCAGTTCCAACAGGCGCAGCAGAAGCACCAGGCGCAAAACGCGGCAGCTGTTGCTGGTAAGACGAGGGGAAGCGAGAGACCGACAGGAGGGAGGGACTAGAGAGGAATGATGAGGTGGAAGTTACAGCAACATTGACAACCCGTAGGCTCCATGGATGATGCAACCACGCTTGCAGAGAAGGTGCGGGGAGGAAAGATCCGCAAGGACCGGTGGTGGTGGAGGAAGGAAGGGGTGGAAATGGTGGGGGGGAAGGACGTGGAGGAACGAGAGGACGAGGGGAGTGGAGGAGGAGGATTCACGTTTGTGTTGCAGGGCACGCTCCTGATGTCAAAGGGACACTACAAGAACGCGCTCGTTACCTATGACAAGGTTTGTAGGAAGTGAGGCGGGGAAAGGGGACGACGATGCTTGCGAGAGAGAGAATAGGGAAGGAATTAAGGGAGGAAGAGGCATCAAACATGCAAGAAAGACTGAAGGGAGAGGAGGAGGGAGAGGAGGGGCAGAGATGGAGCAGACAAGCAGGAGACTGACGCTGCTCCTGCAGTGCCTGGCGATCCAACTGAAGCACCTGGGCGACCTTCATCCCATAGTCGCTCACACGGTTGACCTCATGGGCGTCGCTCTCCTGCGCGTGGGAGCAGCTGAGGAGGCGCTGGAAACCTTCGAGAAGGCTGCCTACATCTATGAGAATTCAGGTCCTCCCTCCCGGCACCTTCCTGCTCCTCTTTTCTCCTGACTTCTTGGCTCCCGCCTCTTCCCCTTCACTCGTTCTTGTTCCCCTCCCTCTTTCCTTGTCGCACAGCCACTTGCCTCCTGTTCTTCTTTAGCCCTCAAGCTTGAGCAGGTCAAGGGGTTCACCCGGACCTCGCGCTCACGGTAGGCCAGCAGCTGGATCTTTCCTGGGGTAGAGGCTCTGACTACTTCTTAGCTTATGCACGTGGGTCAAGCCTATGAGCTCGAAGCTGAGAACGTCCAGCGAGTTGGACCGAAGGTGAGTAAAGGACCCTCGTCGTCTTCGCTTCGCCGCTAGCAGCTCTCGCTGCTCCTGCCCTCCCCCCTCCTTCCTCCTGCTCCTTGGCTCTCGTTGCTCCTCATTCCCTTTGCAGAAAGAATGGTTGCGACAGATCGAAGAGTACTCGAACCAAGCCTACGACTTCTATGAGAAGGTCCAGGATCCTCCTGCTCGCCTTACCTCCTCTCTCGCCTTCCCTCTTGCTCCCCTCGCCTTCCCCGGTGCTCCCCCTCACCGTCGTACAGGCCCTCGAGATGTTCCAAGAAAGGGTGGAAGGCAACGAGCCAGACCTCGACGTAGCCAATGTGAGAGGAAAAGAGAGGAGAGGCCGTGGCTGATAGCGTGCACAAAGGTCGTCCATGCCATGGGCAACGTGCATAACATTCGCGGCGAATACATGGAGGCAAGTCAAACGGGGAGGAGAAGAAACAGGGAGGGGCGAGGGAGGAGGGAGGAGGGAGAGGAGATGGAACAGGGAGGGAGGAGGGGAGAGGAGGGAGGGAGAGGGGAGGAGAAGGGAGGAGGAGAGAACGAAAGGGGAGATGTGGGAGGAGGTCGGGGAATCGTGACTAATTTCCATCAGGCTCTCCGCAAGTACAAGTACGCGCTCGAACACAAGGAATGTCACGTTGTCCCTTCTGCTTCCTCCCTCTCCCCTCCTCTCCCCTCCTCTCCCCTTCCTTGTCCTCGCCTCTCCCCTCCTCTCCCCTCTCCCCTTCCTCGTCCTCGCTCAGTCTCTGTCCGATCTTCTCCCACCCCGTGTGACTTGTGCTACAGATGAAGATTCTCGGGGAAGATGACCCCTCGGTCGGGTGGACGAAGAACAACATCGGCAATGCTTTCAAGGGACTTTATAAGGTGCAGTGCAAGAGAGGGAGGGCAGATGAAGGAGAAACGGTGGAGAAGGGAGGAGCACGAGAGAAGAGAAGATTGGAATGGGGAGAGGGGAAGTGATAGTCGAGGAGGGAGGCACAGCAGATGGGGAGGAGATGACAAGGCAGAAGTTGGATGGGTGAGGAAAAGGAGCTGACGGGACTTCAGGTGGACGAGGCGCTCAAGTGGTACAACGAGGCATTGAGCACTGTCTCGAAGATATTCGGACCGGACCACCCGGAGGTGGGAGGATGAGGATGGGGATGGGGATGGGGAGGAGGAAGATGAGGAGGAGGAGGTGGTGGTGGTGAGGAGGAGTAAGGTTGTGAAGTGCAAGGGAGATAAGGGAAGGGGAAGTGAGAGGAATAGAAGGAGAGGAGAATGTACATTTCGAGGGCCATATTTGACGTACTTGACAGGTCGCACATGTACACTGGAACATCGCTCTCTGTTATCAAACCAAGGGCGAAGTCGACGCATCCAAGAGGTCCTGCTGCTTCCTCTCCTACTCTTTCCCATCCTCCTCTCGCCACCTCGTTGACAACCACCCATCTCGTCATCTTCATCTCGTCATCTGCATCTCGTCATCTTCATCTCGTCATCTTCATCTTGTCATCTTCATCTCGTCATCTGCATCTCGTCCTCTTCATCTCGTCATCTCCCTCTCCTCGTCTGGTCGGCTCTGACCGGCAGCTGCAGGAAGCTCGGATGGCACAACTCCTGGCCGTTCAAGTTTTTCTCCGCTGCTACCAAGAAGAGGTCTTTCTCGTCCTCCTCGTCCTGCTCCTGCTCCTGCTCCTGCTCCTGCTCCTGCTCCTGCTCCTGCTCCTGCTCCTGCTCCACCTCTTTCTCCTCGTGCTCGTGCTCGTGCTCGTGCTCGTGCTCGTGCTCGTTCTCGCCCTCTCCCTCTCTCCTCTCCTCCTCCCTCTCCCTCTCCCTCGTCGTCCTCGACTTCCAGCACCACCGCTGAATCTCCCCCCTTGTCTCCTGTTTCTGCTGGGTGTTCACATACATGTCCTTCAGGATTGTTCATGAAGGCAAGGACTTCGAGGCTATGGTAAAGCATCTCAATCATGGTATGGCTCTTTCTCCTGTGCTTCCTCTCCTTCTCCTCGCTTCCTCTCCTTCTCCTCGCTTCCTCTCCTTCTCCTCGCTTCCTCTCCTTCTCCTCGCTTCCTCTCCTTCTCCTCGCTTCCTCTCCTTCTCCTCGCTTCCTCTCCTTCTCCTCGCTTCCTCTCCTTCTCCTCGCTTCCTCTCCTTCTCCTCGCTTCCTCTCGTGTCCATGAGCTGACTGATGTCAACAGCTTTCGACGTCTTCGTCAAGCGCCTTGGTGAGGATCATGTCTCAACCCAGCGCGCCACACAGGTGATGGACGTCCACACTCTCCCTCTCTCCCCTCGCCCCCATCCTCCAATATCACAGCATCCTCATCTACTCCTGCCCCTGCCCCTGCTGCTCCTGCTGCTCCTTCTCCTCCTGCCCCTGCCCCTGCCTCTGCTCCTGCCTGTGCTCCTGCCCCTCCTTCTCCTCCTCCTCTTCCTTCTCCTGCTCTTCCTCCTCCTCCTGCTCCTGCTCCTCCTCCTCCTCCTCCTCATTCTCCTGCAGGCAATCATGGCGGTTCGCGAGCTTGTCAGAGACTAGTTCGACCGTTAATATCTGTAACCGTTTGATTCCTAATTGTGTAACGGTAACCGTTCAATGTACAACCGTCTGCTGCTGTTGTGCCAGTCAAGGCAACCGTCTGACCCACTACCCACCCCCATTACTCCCCTACCCCCTAAGAGAAGCCCCATCAATGGGGTATTTAACCCCTCACTTTTCAACCTGGACCCCTTACCAGAGTGTTAATCACCCCCCTAGCTACTTAAGATTACCCCACCCCACCCCACCCCCACCCCCATAACTCAGGGTCTATTCCCCCAGAACCTGTTCCTTGTTTTTGATTTCTTGCATGGCGGGAAGAGCGCATGCTCTGAACTGAAGAGGAGCAGCAACAACGAGCACAACACTCATTCCTTCCTCTTCATATACTCTGATACATCATCCTCTTCCTCCTCTTTCTCGTCTTCTACCTCTCCTTGTCCTTCTGGGTGTGGCCTGGTTCTAGTCCTTGTTCTGACCTCCCTCTCTCCTGACCTCTCTCCTGAGCTTCCCTGCTGTCCTCCCTCCCTCCCCTCCATCTGACCATATCTTGATCCTGATCCTGATCCTAATCCTTCTCTCCTGCTCTTCTCCACCCCTCCTGTTCTCCCTTCCTCTCGTTCTTGCTCTCATCCTCGTCCTCCCCCTCCCAAGAATTTTTCCCTCGCATTTTCTTCCATCTTATGAATCTCCTTCTCCTGCACCTGCTAAGTCAGACAATGCAGCTTCTGATGCCATCCTTCTCCTCATGTTCTCTCCATGGCGACTTTTTCATTCTCAAACCTGTTTGGCTATCCTCTCAGTTTTGTTCTGCGCCCCATACAACCTCTTGTTGTATGGATGCTGCAGTCCTTGCTAGTCACTATTCTCTCACCATACCCTTGCATTTTCCCGCTGATCGTCTGATTGGTTGTCTGGCAGAGGCATCTGTGCTACAAGAATGCAACATCGTGTCTGAACCCGCACTGTGAACCCTCGAGTCTTCAAGTCATGGGCTGGACTCCTCTGCATACAGCAGCTAGAGATGGAGATGCCAAGCGCCTCAAGAGATGCATAGAACAGATCAAGTGGCTCGACCCCGTTGATATCAACGCCCAGAGCTCGCAAGGACACACTCCTCTCCACATGTGCGCGGCCAATGGTCACGTGGAGGTCATGCAGTACATCCTCGCTCAGAAGGATTGCGATAAGAACGCTCAGACGAAGTTAGGGAACACTGCCCTGCATCTCGCTGCACTGAACTCGCGGGAGCCTGCGTGCAAGATGCTTGTCAGGTGCGGGCTGTTGTTGTCGCTTGCTACCAGTGACGCGTGTGCGATGCAGCCATGGAGCTGATGCCAAAAGGAAGAACCAAGCCGGACAGACAGCAGCTGACCTCTGTCCTGCTGAGAACAAGACGTTGCGGCAGTTTCTCGTCGAGCAGAGCACTGCTGAGAAGCCAGAGGATATGGAGGAGGACGAGGAGGGGGAGGTTTAAGGGTCTTTAACTGCCATTTCCCTCTCGTTCACAGCGTTGTCTTCTTGTTCTTCTCCCCCTTGGAGCACTTGATGATCATCTGCCAAGCCATCAGCTTGACTTGACTCGCTCTCACGGTTGACCTGCTCGAAGAATGCAGCATCGCACGCCTTGGAAAGGAACCTGAGATGAGGATGTGATGAGGAAGAGGTGAATGGAGATGAGGTAGGGAATTTTACGGATGATCGAGCGCTTCGGCGCTGGACATGCGATGTTTGACGTCCACCTGGAGAGAAGTTACACAAGACAAGGGAGGAGAAGCGAAGTTTGTACTTGCAGACAAGCCTTGTCGAAGCTGAATACACTCTCGTCAGCTCCATCGCCTCCATTGTATTTTATCACCTTATCAGATCCTTGCTCCAACGCCCAGGGTTGTCGAGCCCCGGAATGCCCTTAGCACAGTCAGTGAGAGGAGAAGAGAATGAGCGAACGGGGGTAGCGAAGGGACGCGGCAGTAAGAGGAGGAGCACCTTGGTCGAGATGAGGTACATGGCGCGGAAGACCGTCTCCGTGAAGTATGGTCTGACATGCACATCATTACCTCTCTCCCCCTCCTCTCTCCTCTTCTCTTTCTCTCTCTCCCCTCCCTCCGCTTCTTCCACTTCCTCACTCCCCCCTTCCCTCCCATCGTTCTCACGGATTCTTCTGTGCGCATTCTCGCAAAACGACGCCCGTCGACCAGACGTCCACCTGCCGCTTCGTCACACGGGGATGAACAACTTACAGGAAGAGTAGGAGGGAAAGGATGAACGTCTGGATGATCGTTGAGCACCTTGGTGGTGTAAGGCTTCTCTCGGATGACCTCAGGCGCCATCTGCGAGCATCAGCGTCAACAGTCCTCGTCCCTGTCCCTCCTCTCTGTCCACCTCCTCCTCTCCTCTCTCCCTCTCCCTGCTCTCTCCATTTCGTCACATTCCATTCCCCTCTCTGTCTTCTCCCTCCTTTCCTCCTCTCTCCCCCACCCTTCTACTGCTTTCCCCCTTCCTCGCCTCCTCACCCAGTAAGGAGTCCCGAGCACGGAGGAGCGCGACTGGTTCTCTTTGGTGAGCTGCACGCAGAACCCAAAGTCTGCGATCTTGACAGTCCCGCCGGCCCCGACGAGGATGTTGTCGCTCTTGATGTCGCGATGGATGCGGCTGAAGGAGTGGAGGTATGCCAGCCCTTGGAACGTCTCCCTCATCATGTACGCGATGAGAGACTCGTGCTGTGCGCTCTTCCCCTCCCCGCCGTACCAAGACTTCCATCCCCTGCCGTTGACGTCAGCCTCCCCTCCAACTCCTGCCCATCGTCCTCCTCGACTCACTTCTCCAGGATCTCGTTCATGGCCCCATACTGCATCGCCTCCATGACGACCCAGACTTTGGTTCCTCCCAGACGTCCAGACCAGTTGTAGGCATCGATGTACTCGACGAGGTTGGGGTGGCTGCTGACGCTCATGATCTGAATCTCGTTCTCGAGCTCCTCCAGCTCCGTCTCCTCGTTCATGGCGAACTTCTTGATCGCCACTCGCGGCCATCGCTGAGCAAACGATGAGAAGGAGAAGGAAGAGAGAGAGGGAGAGGAGAGGGAGAGGAGAGTGGAAGGGGAAGGGGAGGGAGAAGGAGGAGGAGGGTGAAAGAAGATGGCGAAGAACCCTTACATCTCTCAGCGCCTTCTCCTTTGGCTGTCCCAGATAAACAGCTCCGCTCGACCCCTTGGCCAGCTTTTGCAGGGTGTCCCAATGCTTACGGGGGTCGACGCCGTTCTTGATCTTCGCCCTAGAGCACGAGACGTCAGTCCTCGTCTTCCCCATTGTTGCAATTCACTTGGAAGAGGCCACAGCAGTGAACTGCTTCTGCGTCGGCAGCTTCTGCAGCGTCAAGTTTCCTGCAAAGGGTTGAGGGAGAGCAAGAGGTTGGAAGCGCAAGGGACCGTCTGCTCCGTTGATGGGAGGCGGCGCCTTCTTCTGCGAGTTGAATTCTGCATATCGGAGATCTCCCGACCGAGCGGGCGAATTGGGCGAGTCCAGAGCACGAGGAGAGAACATGGCTTGCGTGCGCGGGGAACCAATGTCAGAGTCCGACATAGGAGGCACCCTCCTTCCTCCAAGAGGACTGAACATGGCGTTAGAGAGCGGCGTCTGAGCAGGCGAGCTCTGGCATGAGGTGGAGTTTGTATTGAACGAGTAGTTGATCATCCTGGTGGACTTCCTGACGTCGCCTGAGGAAGGAGAGTCAGAGAGGGGGCGGCCACTGGACAAGTCCACCTGATTGCTCGTCTCGAGACAAGCGTTTTTCAGCCATCTCCTTCAGCGCCTGTGTGGGACGTCAGCCGGCTGCCTCCCGCGGCTGCGCGAAGACCTGGAAGAAGGTGGACTTGAGCTTGGGCGCGGAGTCGAGGATGGCGATGACGACATCCTTATGGAGCTCGAGGAGATCGCAGCTCTCCTTGCAGACAACATCTGCTGTTCGCTTTGCGATCACAAAACTGCAAAGAATTAAAAGTCAGTTCAACTCTTTTCCACCTCATCTTACTTCTTCTCCCCTCCCTGAGGGTCTTTTCCCAACGTCCCTCCTCCCTTCTTCCCTTCCCCCCTCCCCTTTCCTCCTCCCTCCTCCTCTACTTCCCTTCTCTTCACTTACCCTGACTGTCCCATATATTGCGCACAGTGGGAGACAAGTGCGATCTCCCCGAAAAATTGACCCATCCTCATTGGTTCCAGTTCGTGACCGTTGACCACGGCAGCAACTCTGCCCGAGTTGATGAAGAACATAGAGTCTCCAGGGTCTCCCGCTCTCAGCACGTACTCTCCAGCATTGAACCGCCTGCACGATACCTTCAGGGCCATCTCCACCTCTCCCCACCCCACCCAACTCCTCATCCCTCCTCCTCCTCCTCCTCCCTCCCTCCTCCCTCCTCTTCCTCCTCCCCACCTGGGCCTCAGCTGGTTGGCGATTCTTGTCAAGGTTGGCTTGTCCACCATCCTGAAGAGCTGGAAGGTCCTGCAAACGCGTCAGCTCCTACCTTGCAGTTGCACAGGTACCTGAGGGCCTCAGTGTCCAGACCTTCGTTGGTTCTCAGGATCTGCAGGACGAGCTCTGGGTTCTCCATGACGTCTTCTTCCGTCATGCCTACAAGGCTGTCACATACTGATTGAGGACAACACCGGAGGTATTGGAGGAGAAGGACAAAAGAGGGAAGAGGAGGAGGAGTTCTTAGAGGGGAAGAGCTCGCGAGGAAGGAGCACAAGTGTTTGGCAACAGACCTGCAGCTCGCAACCTCATCTTCTGCTTCTGCGTGAGCTGGTCGAAAGTGAGCGTCTCCTGCTCCAGATCCTCCGCTGCCTCCTTCAATTGGGAGAATTTGATCCCTCGGACCTGCTCGCCAGTCAAGCCAAAGAGAGCAACTCGGGGATGAAATAAGGCGCAGCTACCGATGCTCTAGCAGTGGCGATCGCGTACAAGTTCTCGTAGAGGGGGTCGCAAGAACACAGGACGGGCAGCAGGGCTTCCAGTCGCAGCTCCATCGCCTCACAGTCTGAGTTGCAAACAACGGTCGAGCTGAACGCTGTTGAGAGCATCACCTGCCATCCTCCCGTGAGCTTCTTCCCTCCCTCCCTCACCCCCCTTCCTCTCTTTCTCCCTCCTGCCTCGTGCAACGCGATCGTCATGCTGCTCATCTCCTCGCCTGCAACTCCTTGCTCGCTCCCTCTCCTACACTGTCACGCTCTCACCTTGCCCTGCATCTCTTGAAACCGAGCAGCGGCATTCGCCATGAGCTCCGCGGACCCGAGGAACTCTCCCCTACCCTTGTCGGCCATTCTACGACCGTCGGGGCCATAGCACGAGACGCTCCCGCTCATGAGGAAGTAAAGGTGCGTACAGGCAGCTCCATGCCTCGCGATCGTATGTCCCTTAGCAAAGACCCGCGGCTTCAAGAGCGATTCGATCTGCTGGATGACCTGCGGGTCAACCTTTCGAAGCAGCCCGAGGCTCAAGAAGCTCTGCCGCGTCGAGGCGTCAGGCCAGATACCGAGGGTGCTTGTCTCCTTGGCGTCTGACGACTTTCTCTTCGACGGAAGGTTCAGGTCACGGATCAAAGTAATGAAGAGCATCTTCTGCTCAGTGGAGATGAACTCGCACTCTATGTCGCTATGCTCGTTGCTAAGTCGGATGATCAGCTTGTTCGGGCTGTTCTTGTCTCCTGAAGTCATTCCCCAGATCTCAGAGATCACAATTCTCTTTTTCAACACGTCGGTCTCAGGGTCGTACACAGACAGCTGTGCCTTGTCGACATCCACTTCTATTCTTCTCTTCACCTTCCGCAGGAATCGAAGGAACTTCGTCACATCGAAGGTGTAGATGCTCTGTGGCCAGAACCGCTTGTTCTCAGTCTTGGCAGCATTCTCGCCCTTAGGGCTGTCGTTGTCTTGCGGCTTGAGGATTTCCTGGAAGATCTTATCCGACGAGAGTCGACGGGGAGCAGACCGATGCGAGGGGCTGGGGACAAGATCCGTCTGTACATGGTTGGGTCGAGCGGACTGGTAGCCGCTCTTCGCGTGCGACCGGTCGTCAAGTTGCAACCTGTTCATTGTAAGAGGCGGGGAGGTCTCAATAGCTCATTGAGATCAACATTCCCAAGACATCTCAAACATTCATGCTCTGCTTCACCGCGCCTCCTATCTCCTGCAACCATGTCGAGTGTCAGGATACGGAGGGTTGAACGCGATTTTGTCCCCTTCGTCGTCTCAGGACTCCAGTCAACCAAACATAAGGTTTGAGGGACGAGACTTGTTCCTCAAGAGACAACCCATACTTTCTCTTTCTTTGTTGTCATCTATTCTGCCTCACCTGAAGCCCTCTCATCCAAGTCTGAGGATGACTTGTATTCCACTCTTTCAACTCTAGTAACTCATCCATTCATCATTTCTTGAAATCCTATGCCCGGACCTCTGATTCCTTCTTCGGGAGATCTCTGATTCTCTCGTTACGAAAATTCTTCCACACACTGAATCAAAGCTTCTTCCCTTGTGCTGTGTCGAACCTGCGCTATGTCCATGTCTCCTTGTCTTGAAAAAATCTTAAATCGATTTCATGCTACAATTTTCTCTGCCTGTACCCTCATCTCGTGAAATCTCCTCAACATAATCATATGAGTCTTCCCTCATCCCCGTCCTCTACCTACTTCTTCTACTCCTCTCCTCCCTCGTTCATCCTCCTCCCCTCCTCTTCTACACTCTTTGTGGCCACACTACGACAGCGGTATCGCTTTCATTGGGTATCAAACCCCTCTCACCCCTGCCTAGTTTTATCCTTCTTTGCCTAGTACCCCACCCTATCTTATCAAGCCGACAAAACTTGACACCCCCATGTTCCCCTGTCTTCACCCCCATATTTCCGCTAGTAGTATCTGGGATATCAGCGGCCCACCACCTACATGTGGGTACCCACCCCCCACTCGGAACAAGACAAGGTTCAGAGTGACTCCGGTCAAAGGGACATAATGGCCGTTATGACGGTTACAGATCGGTGATAACCGGAAAACAGGGGTGTCGCAGCTGCCGGGATATTGACCTACCAGACCGTTATTCGACGGTTATTTATTCGGAAAGTTCCCCGGGCCGGCGGCCGATTCATGCCCGGGCCCGGCAGCTCCGGGTCCAAATAACCCACCCCCTTAGGGTCGGGTGGGTTGAAGCTGGATATGAGGGTGGGGGTATTCGAGTTCGCAAGCAGGGGTCAGTTGCCAGCAAAAAGCTCTGATGGAGTGGGGTAGGGGTAGTTGTAGTTTGGTAAGAGAAAGCAAGTATCTATTGTAGGGGTGGTTTTGCCCTAAAACTTGGGGGTCAGGGTGATCCCGACATTCGGGACTTGAGGCATAAACAATCCAGGAGGGGTAGGCTCGAATTTGATGCGGTCCGAGGGGTGGGGGTGGTCTGGTTGCGATCATGGCCTCCTGGAAGGTGGCTATGGCTATGGCCATGGCCATGGCGGCAGAGGTAAGAGGAGGAGGAGGAGGAGGAGGAGGATAAGAGAGAGGACGAAAGGTAGAAGATGAAGAGTGGAAAGAGAGAGGAAGTCGTTGATGTTGCAGCTCTGCTGGAATTATGAGATAGAGCAGAAGCAAGTCAGGCGATGAACACTCCAGGATCCCTGATGGAGCTGTTTGCTTGCACCGAGGGTGTCAGCAGAACCTGAGGATGGGGATAAGGAATAGAAGCTACTGAACGAAACGAAAGAAAGAGGATAATGAAAAAAGGAGAGTGCAGAAGACGCTCTACCTTTAGCACGGAGGGGTAGCAGCGACTCGAATCGTGCAACGGACTTCCTGTCATGACAGCCGTCAGGATATGCCTTACATCTTATAGTTTGCGTTATAGAACGAGACAGAGATAGAGTAGTGAAGAGTGTGTTGAGTGCTTGCCTGCGACCGCAACAGTGACTGAGAGAGCGGTGGTAGGGTATCTTCACCTTGTAACCCTGTTTGCTTCAGGCCTTCTCCCCCTCGTCTCTGTTCTCAGGTTTGAGGATGCATGCGCTTGCTGCACCATCTGACAAGCTTCTTCAGCTCACCATGCCAACGTTGCCTCCTTCTCTCGCGCGGAGAAGTCTCGCTACTCCCTCCGCGCCCCTCGCATGGTGGCGTCGCCGGCTGCGAAGCTTTCGACTGAGAATCCTTTCCGACCTGCAGCTCGCAAGATCGGCGTGCAGGTGATGTAGAGCGTTGACGAGAGAGGAGGAGGAGAGGAGAGAGGAGGAGGAGGAGACGAGAGAGGAGGAGGAGACGAAGGAGGAGAGGAGAGAGGAGGAGGAGACGAAGGAGGAGAGGAGAGAGGAGGAGGCTCACGTGAGAGGAGGAGGGGGTTGACGAGGTCTTGTCAGACTCAACTGCGAGAAGAGTGCCAGTTCATGCTGCCCAAGGACGAAATGCCGCTGGACAAGAGGGTGCGAGAGAGAGTCCGTGAGATGCTACTTGGGTGATGTTTGCTCAAGATCGAGAAGTACGTGGCGGACGGAGAGCTGCTGAAGAGTGATGGTATGTGCTTGCACTCGAGGAGAGGAGAGGTCTGACCAGCTCACAGGAGACATCATCTTGAACTGGTGCCAGAACTACAAGGATGCGCTATCCAAGGTGCTTCTTCGGGCGGGAGGGGAGGGGGGGAAAGGGAAGGAATAGGAAGAGAGGGGAAAGAGGAAGGAAGAAGGACAGAGGGTAGAGGAGGAGTTCGAGGAGGTGAGGGCGGTGTGTGTGTAGTGGGGGGTGGGCACAGAGGGGAAAAGAAAGCGGTGGAAAGCAGGGAAGGGGAAGGAGGAGGAGGAAGAGGGGGAAAGGGGAAAGGGGGGTGACGGGGGGTAGGTGGAGGGGGTGGCGGGAGGGGTGTCGAAACTGCGGACGAGGTAGTGTGTGTAGTCCTGACTTGTTCTTGTTGTCAGGCCCCCGCCAAGGTGGATGAAGACAAGAAGTTCGCAGTCGATGACTACTTTGCCACCCTCACCGAGCTGGTGCGAGCAGCTGGTGGTGGAGAGGAGGCTGACAGGGAGCAGGTTCGTAAGGAAAGGAAGCGCCCCCACTACTTCGACAGCAACAACAAGGTACGCGGGACTCTGATGGACAATCAGCTGGCCTTCGGTGGTGACAGCGATCAGGTGACGGGCAAGCACTACGAGCCGCACAACTATCATCACTCCGACAGCCAGTTCTTCAACTACCAGGTAGCAGGGGGGTAAGGAGGGAGGAGGAAGATGGAGGAGGAGATTGAAGGAGAGAAGGTTGGAAGAGATGGGGCTAGTTTGGGCGGCAGGCACGGTGGCAGGATCGTGTAGTTTGGTATCCTCATGTGCTACGTTAGGCCTTCGGAATCGACTTCACGAGGCCTCTGGTGGACTGGGACGAGACGAAGTAAATTCTCCTCATGCTCCTCCTCCTCCCTCCCCACCTTCTCCTGCTCCTGCTCCTGCTCCTGCTCCTGCTCCTGCTCCTGCTCCTGCCCCTGCTGTGCCTGCCGTGACTCGCTCGAAGGATCGTCGGAGCACACAACCTGCAGAAGATCAAGGCGCAACTCGAGGTGACGAGAGGGAGAGGGCAAGGGAAGAAGAGCACAGTAGAGGAGGTGGTGAAAATTTGCGGTGGAATGCCGGCGGATGGAGGTCAAAGAAGAGGAGGAAGAGGAAGCGGAAAGAAGTTGGGGGGAGGCGGCGGGAGGCGGGATTGGGAGGAGCCGCGAAGGGTCTGACATGAATGGGACAGGCTGGGGAGAACGTAGTCTTCCTGTCCAACCATCAGTCTGAGAGCGACACTCACTGCATCTTCACCCTGTTGTCTCCCCTGCTCGTCCCCCCTGTTCCGTGACAAGCTATGCCAGCCTTGAGGACCAGCTGGGCCCGGAGTACGGCAAGATCGCCTCCCAGATCGTCTTCATGGCAGGTGAGTTTTGACACCCTCCTCCTTCCTGCTGGGACCTGACGGCCGGGGCAGGTGAGAGAGTCCTCCGCGACGCGATCGTCGTCCCCTTCTCCCGCGGCTGCAACCTCCTCACGGTAAGTCCCCAGCAGAAGCTGCAGCTGGAGTCGCTGACGAGCGAGGAAGGTCTACTCCAAGAAGCACATCGACTCCGAACCTGAGCTGAAGATGGCCAAGATGGGACACAACCAGAAGACCCTCAAGAAGGTGTTCCTCCTCCTCCTCCTCCCTCCCCCCCCCCCCCCTCCCTCTCCTCCTTCCACCCCCCCGTCCTCCTCCTACTCCTCCTCCTCCCCCGCCCTCATTCTTGTGCTCATTACGTGCAGCTTGGCGAGATGTTCGCGCTGGGCGGAACCTGCATGTGGTTCGCCCCGTCCGGTGGGCGTGACCGCCGCAGTGCCGAGACCGGCAAGGTAGGAGGAGGGAGAGAAGTAAAGAGGTTGAGAGGAGGAGAACAAGGACGAGGGAGGAGCCAAACATGAGGTGGAGGGGAAGGGAGAGGAGGAGGAGGAGGAGGAGGAGGAAGGGAGAGGCAGTGGAAGAGGAGGAGGGGGATGGATGGATGGATGGATCGAGTTGAATCTGACTGTTCATCAAGGTCGAGTTGTCTCCCTTTGACCCCAACGCGATTGAGATGGTGCGACTGGTCGCTGAAGGAGCTGGTGCCCTCAAGAAGGTGATAAAGCTGTGGTGGTGATGATGGTTGTGGTGGAGCAGAAGGAGGAGGGAGGGAGGAGGAGGAGGGAGGGAGGGAGGCGGATGGAGGAAGCAGAAGCGATGCGGCTCTAACCTCACTGGCTCGCAGACTCATTTCTACCCGATGGCTCTCGCTACCCACAACATTTTCCCACCCCCTGCTACTGTCGGAGGAGCCATCGGCGAGGTCAGTGGCTTCCTCCTCCTCCCTGGCTCCCTCCTCCTTCCTCCCTCCCACCCCCCCCGCCACCCCCTCCCTCCCTCTCTTCGTATTCCACCTCCTCTTCCTGCTCCTCCTCTTCGTATTCCCCTCCTCTTCCTGCTGCTCCTCTTCGATTCCCCTCCTGTTCCTGGCCAGCAATGTCCGATTCCCCCTCCACCT